CTTGCTTGCTTGCTTGCTTGCTTGCTTGCTTGCTTGCTTGCTTGCTTGCTTGCTTGCTTGCTTGCTTGCTTGCTTGCTTGCTTGCTTGCCTGCTTGCCTGCCTGCCTGCCTGCCTGCCTGCCTGCCTGCCTGCCTGCCTGCCTGCTTGCTTGCTTGCTTGCTTGCTTGCTTGCTTGCTTGCTTTCCACACGTCCTTCTCCCAACCCCCAACCTCAGCTTCAGCCATAATGAGCTGCTTTCAGATCCTCGAATTAATCGAATTTTCTCATGTCCCCAGGCCTTTGCATGAATTATTATTCCCTCTATTTGGAATACGTTTCTACCCCCTCCACTCCCTACCTAGCTAACTCCCAATTATTTTCAAGTCCCAGACCAGAGGGCTCTTCGTTTAGGAAGCTTGCCTTGATTTGTGCTCCCCCCGCCCCCAAACCCCCCTCCTCACCCAACTCATGTTCTTACTCTGTTGATCATTCACTACTCCTGTAGTTGCCTCTTTGTCTACCTATTGGGAGTTCCAGAAGGGCAGGAACTGGACCTTCTAATTTGCTATGGAACTCCTAGCCCCTAGCACGGACACCAATGCAATAATATTTCCAGAAGCAATGCATTCTGCCCGGGCTTCCACTTTTCTCCTTGTAAAGTAAAGCTCTGATGTCCTATGGACATGCACCTTCCTAGGATGGAAACAAGGATGAGAGGTCCCAAACAGGTTTTGTTCACCTCTCACAGGCTTGGTTTTTTTTTGTTTTCATTTGAATTAATGCCAACATTTTAAAATCTGGAAATATAAAATTCTTCACTTCTAACTTGTACAGAAAAGAAAAATCACACTATTTGGCAATGCAAGAGCAGGAATCATGCACGGCAACAGTCAGCCAGGCCCAAGTCGCAGCCTGCCATAACATGGGGCTGCACGCACCTCCTTGCTTCCCGAAGTGCCCATCCAGCTGACTTACGCTGCCTGCTTGGCTCCTGCAGGCAGGCAGCTGCAGATCTTTGCCTTAGCCTTTGGGGCAGGAATGATCATCTCAAGAGGACAGGGATTGTCCTAGGGGGAGAGAGAGACTGGCCCTGGCCTCCTTTAAATCAGCTGAGGGAAGAGACCACTTTGTCTGTGGTCTTCTCCACTGTGCACACACTCTGGGAAACTTTTATCTCGGGACAGTCCTCAGGAGGTACCATCTGCCAAAAACATGCCCTGCTACCAGGATCACACGTGAACGACAGGTGTGAAAATAAGAGGCACCCCTGCCCTGCTTTTTCAAACACTGAAGCAGCAGAGCGGTTATGTTTTCTGGGAGAGCAGAATCAGAGATCTACTTCTTGGAAATCACTCCCGGGCTAAGACCACACAACCCTTCCTCTGTGTCTGGGACCCTTTCACCATTGCCACCTACTCTGGGTCTCAACTAAGGTTTGGGCTCTGGGTGGACTCAAGAGGCAGGTTTAGCGGTTCATGATATAGTGGGGAATGGCTCCCTGCCGGCAAATATGCGTGTCTCATTCAGTCATCCATCTACTCATTCACAACACTGGAGTGTCCACTGCGTGCTAGCAACACTGGATCTGTTTCAGTCATGCTGATCCCTCTGCTTGGCACACCACCCTTCTCTGCATGGTGCTCTTTCAAGGCTCAGCTCAAATGTTTCTTCTCTGGTTGGCTTTTTCAGACCATGGGACCCCCTGCTAGTTGGCCGGGTCTTCATGTGTTCCCAAACTGACTTGTACCGCCCCTACTGTCAAGTTATTTATCATATTGTATGATTACTATCTGGGTATTTCCTCATACTGGGCCCCAACTCGGAAGGGTGGGGACTGTGTCCTGTTCACCACCCTATGCCTCCCCACCAAAACAGCACCCAGCACATGGATGCCGGCAAAAATTGCTATTCGACTGAATAAATCAGTGGTTTTCCAAGGAACAGATTGGAAATTTGTGGGGGCAGTTTTGGGTGTCACACGACTGAGGGGACACTACTAGCATTTAGGAAGCAGGGAGTAGAGACCCGGACCTCCTGTAATGCACAGAACAGCTCACCCCAACAAAGCGGTCCTGCACAACTTTCCAATACCCTGCCAAACCTTCATGGAGGCAAAAAACCTGTTTATAACCTGTTTTATATACAAATACAATGAAACTTTCCCTGGTTTTAATATACAATATATTATCCAGAAATGTATACACCAGCTTAACCGAGGAAGTTATTCTTTGTTTTGTTCACTATTGTGGAAAATCACTGTCTATCCTTCTGAGCGCAGGTGAGTCACCAGAACGCACCCATGTGTGTCTGCGTTTGTAGCTGTCACAGTGATGGCACGCCTGTATACAAATACATTTAACCTTCGACTCAAGATACCACATAGAGGGACTTCTGTGGTGGTCCAGTGGTAAAGAATCCGCCTTCCAACGCAGGGGAAGAAGGTTCCATCCCTGGTCGGTGAACTAATACCCCACACAGCCAAACAAACAAAAGATGCCGAATGTAAACTTTGGCAAAATTTAGTTGAATACTATTAAATCCAAACTTTCTCATTTTAAGTTAGGTACAGACGTGGCCGGGTGTCATCCAGTCTGAGCTTTTACATAGTGAAGGGCATATTCGTTTATTATAAATTACTTTCATTGCTCTCATTTCTCCTTTATAGTAGAGAGAGGGCATCACGTTTATTTTTTTTTTAACCCAGGCGGCAGCGGGAGGGGGGGGCGGACACTGAACCATCACTCAAGACGAACCCGCCCCCTCCCTCAGCCTCAATCTCCCGCTTTTTGAATGCAGCCAGACACAAAACTCCGAGCACTCGGGCACCGGAGAAAGCCCCAACGGTTCCTAGGGCCTGTTCTTCACCCCAGGCCTCAGTTTCCCAATCTGTCCAACGATCTTGGATCAAAGCTCTTCAAACGACTCCCCACCCCGACGCTCCGGTAACTCCAAACTCCGCCTGAGGCGACCTCCCCTGGTTGCTATGGGTTACAGCGCCTGCGCAGAAACCACGCCAAGCCGCTAGAAGGCGCTGGGGCCGCTAGGGCGCATGCGTGTCACCCACACAGGGCTGCGCGTGGCTACGGACGCTTCCCAGGATATCCTGCGATTGTGGGGTGGCAAATGGCGGTCTCCTTGCCCCGCGGGTTGCTGGCCGGCTAAACTCACCCGGCTTCTTGCTTTTTCCAGGCGCTCGTGGCTGGCGCGCGCGCACACATACACACACACACACACATACACACACACAAAACAGGTAAAGCAGCAGAGTAAGAGATGGGAAGTCTCGGTCAGGGCCTGCGTCCGCTCTTTACGCGCCTGGAGTCTACGCGGATCAAATCGCGCTTTAAAGGGGCGAGTGTCCCTTCGCCTCCCCACGCCCCGGACCCTGGTCCATTAACGGCTTCCCGAAGGGGCGAGGGTGCGGTTGAGCCGCCCCCTGCTGGCTGATAAGATTCCGTTCTAAGGCAGCTGTGGGAGGGAGGAGGGCAAAGTTGACACGCCTGCGCTCCGGGCTGCCTGTTGCTCATAATGAAGAGGAAGCTCCCTCGCTCCCTAGGATTTCGGAAGCTCCTCGGATCCCCGAGTATGCCCTACCGTTGTGACTTCACCGTCCTTCCCACCATCCCAGGTTTCTTGCCCGGCCCTGACTTCCAGTCCTAGTGCTGAGCTGCACGTGCCCCGCCCCACTCCACGAAGATTTACTCTGGGATCCCACCCAAGAATGACTGAGTGCCTGCCCCCCAGGGTAGAGGTCTTGGGCTCGGCCAGGCAGATCACTTTTCACAGCAACGATGGACCCACTGCACATTTTTAGAGATTGAGGCAGTTGGGTTTGCGGGGTGCAGGATAAAAGTCTAGGGCAACGGGGAAGGCCTGGAGGAAGGTAGGAGACGCCTAGTGGACCGTGAAGGATGGAGTTCAGCAGGGTGAGAGTGCAGTATGTTACTCCAGGGATAGGGAGGCCCAGGCTCAAGAGTCCAGCTGCCTTCCAGATCTTTACTACCTCCTGCAGTTTATTCAAATTGAATTCATTTTTCCCCAGCTTTGCTGCCCATCTACAGTGACACCACCAAATGCACCTCACGGTCTGAGCCAGAAATCTGGGAGTTATCCTTAGCTCCTGCTCTCCAGCCATACCCAGCTCTTGCCCTCAGGAGAAAATATGCGACTTCAACTTGATATTCCAGTCTCTATGATGTGACTCCTGGTATCTTCTCCACTGACTCCTGGTGACCTCCTCACTCTTGCGCACTCACCCTGCATTTCATTAATTCCAAACTCACCCTGCTAGTTCATGCCTCTGTGCTTTTACAGGTGCTGATCCTAAAACTCACCCTGCTAGTTCATGCCTCTGTGCTTTTACAGGTGCTGTTCCCTTTGTCTTGAATGCCATTCACACCTCCCCCCAGCCACCACCACCTTGTTCATCTGGTGAACCCCTCTTCTTTTCCCCCCAAATCCCCAAAACCAAACACAGCGTTAGGCAAGCCTCCCTTCTCTAGACCACAGAATCTCATATTTGCCTATTCATCATTCATTCCACTACTGTTTATTAAGCACCCACTGTGAGCAAGGTCTTCTGCATTTCCTGGGTTGGATTTCCACCGAGCTGTCTTTGTTTGCCTGTCGCCCTCTTTGGTCAGGAATGTCGCTCATTTCTGAAGCCCCAGTGCTGTGCCCACTGCGTGCTACACAGCCGGCATCCAGTTACTGTTCCTTAAAGAAGTAGGAAAGCAGACCCAAGGGGAAGAGAAAGCCCCAAAAAGTCCTTTGAAGAAAAACCCTGGCCTAGAAGGGGAGTAAAACCAGTGCCCTGATGAAGTAGATTGAAAGGCTGGCTCCTGCGGTCTGACAATGGAAGAGTTTGCTCAGTTCGGTGCTGATGACTTCCCGAAATTAACTGGCTCCTCTGAAAAGAAAGGAACCCATCTAACCTATCTCACCCAGAGAAATTTTCCTCTCCCACTGCATTTTCCAGGATTTCCATCCCTGAGCTGCTGCACTCTGTAATATTCTGAGCAATAACAACTCCCACAACAAAGCAGCAATCAGGTCCTCAGAGACCAGCAGGGCTGAAAAGGGGTCGCCAGCCCCCATCTTTGGACTTCGGAATGAGAACACTCCTTTGGAACACTTTGTTCCAAAGAGCTGAAACTATGGGACGCCCACTTGTTCCCGTGGACAACTCATCCATCCTTCAGAAGACAGTGTGCGGGAGGGAAGCGTGGGTTAGAGTGTCAGAGGAACAGCTCCTGGAAGGCCAAATTAGCCCAGGGATGTGGTGAGTTGGAAAAGAAGAGGCTGTTGCTAAGCCACCAGCATATACTCCCCTCCTTCTCTCAGGCTGTACTACCTGCTGGAGAAAAGCTGTGGACTTCTTCAAGGAGTGCGGACACTCCTGAACCCAGGCGCAGGAGAGGCAGAGCGAAGCCAAGGACCCTGGAGGCAGGCAGGATGGGTTCAGACTGCTGCATCTGACTTGGGAGAGCAAGCATGGACAAGTCCCTTCGGCATGTCATTCATTCCTTTGTAATATGGGTAACAATACTTGCATCACAGAGTTATTGTGGAGATTAATTAAAAGATTCTTAAATAAAAGAGATACGTACAGAAAGCACTAGTACATAAAGGGCATGCAGTAATCGTTAGCTATTGTTCATTCAGTACATTTACTGGGCACCTAAGTCCCAGTACTGTTCTAAGTACCAGTAATAAGGCAGGGAACAAAAGAAAAATCTGTCCTAGAGTGTCACTTTCTAGCTGGATTAAATAAGTGCTTATGCCACGTTAGGTGGTGGGAAGTGATGGGAAGAAAGATAAAGCAGAGTGGAGGGTAGAGCCTGGAGGTGCGGAAGAGCCTCACTGCCAGGGGATGGGGGGGGGGGGGGTGACAGGTGGCTTTTGAGTAAAAGCCTAAGTGGGGAGGGAGAAGCATTGAGGCTGAGGGCAAGCCACTGCCCTCTGTTTAGGGAACACCTGACCAGTGAGACTGAAGTCACTTGTTCATAGGGGAAGTAGTAGGAGAGGAGACTGGAGATGTAGCGAGAGGGACTAGATCCTGTAGGGCCTGTGGGTCATGCTGACGGCTTGGCATTTACTCTGATGAGATGGGAGCCCCTGGAGAATCCTGAGCAGCAGAGTGACATGGTCTGACTTTCATTTGGAGGATAGATTAGGGGGCACGGGTGGACAGGGAGCCCAGGCGAGAAGTGACGGTGGTGCAGTTGTTAGTAGTTGGGGCCACCGTATGTACAGCAGCCAGTGCAGTGCTGGCCCAGCACACAGCAGCCCCATCTTAAGCACCATTTTCTGAGGCTTGCTGTGTGGAGGGCATGTTCCAGCCCCTTACATCCATTGCCTCATTCAGTTCCCCTGATTGCATGGGAGTTCCCGCAGGAGGAAACCAGTGTTCAGATCAGGCCACTGGCCCCGTTCCCCCAGCAGGTTCTCCTTGCCATGGTAGGGAGCTTGTTAATGGAAACAGCTTCAGGCAGAGAAGTAAGTGACAGAAACTGAGGCCCCCACTCAGTTCCCTGTGGGAGTTGCTCTTTGGCTTTCCAGGAGCCCATTTCAAGGAGCAAAGTGTGGGTCCCATCTCCGTGAGAACGGACCCAGGCAGTGAGGAGGAGCCTGGAGCCCTAGTGATGTCTGGATAAATATCACCCAGCCCTTGAACCTGGCCCGGGGCTGGGCTCAGAAGAGGAAACCCCAGTTCACATTTCACTGCCAGAGAAAAGCACCTTGAGAGAAAAAGGCCTGGAAGTCCCAGAGGGTCGGGACAGGCAGGGAAGAAGACAGGTGAGAGCAGGTCTCCCTTATCCCTGTGCCCACCTCTAGGGGCCCCTTGCCCCGCTCTTACCTGCAGGCCAGGTGCTGCTGCTCGTCCTTCTCCAGCCACTGCTGATGGAGTCTGGTCCCCTCCCTGGAAGGTGGCGGCCCTTGTCCCAGCTGGGTTCCTGCTCCCTGGTCAGCTGACTCACTCAGGACTGGGATGGGCCCAGGTAAGGACCTGCGGCTGACTCAGCCTGCTCCTAGGTCACCAGGCTCAGAGGAGGGCTTTGGCCGTAGTCTGGATGAGGAGGTGGGGTTAGGGGCTCACAGCTCCTGTTGAGAGGGTGATGAACCAAGACTTCTTGGCCTTGAGGAAATCGGATTTGGATTGGACAACCAGTCCTGCTGAACTCACTGAGGGCAGTTTGATGGGTCTTAAAAAATGGCCATACCTGGGCTTCCCTGGTGGCACAGTGGTTGACAGTCCACCTGCCGATGCAGGGGACACGGGTTCATGCCCCGGTCTGGGAAGATCCCACATGCCGCGGAGCGGCTGGGCCCGTGAGCCATGGCCGCTGAGCCTGCGCGTCCGGAGCCTGTGCTCCGCAACGGGAGAGGCCACAACAGTGAGAGGCCTAAGTACCGCAAAAAAAAAAAAAAAAAAAAAAAAAAAAAAGGCCGTACCTTGTGACCCAGCATTTCCTCTTGTAGGAATTTGTTACAAGAAAATAAACAAGTAGGCAGTGAGGTCTCAGGGCCCACCGTGTTTCTTATAATAGAGAAATCTAGAAATCCCCAAATGCCCATCGCTAGGGTCAGTTAAATAAGGCAGCATCTGTGGAAGATCACAAAGCTGGCAACGTCATTAAGGAAGAAGCCATGAGGAAGTGTTCCGGCAAGACATTGAAAAATCAGTATCGTGATAACCATCTTGTGTTTTGTCTTCATTTTTTGAAAAGTGAATATGCACTGAAAACAGTCTGGGAGGGCGTATCCTAAAACGCTGGAAATCCGGATGGTGGGATTGTGGGTGGGGTTTTGGTTTGTACTTTTGTGTCTGTTTCAAGGTGGTGGAGTTTTGTTTTGTTTTCTTTTGAAGTTAGTTTTTGCTTTGAATGTTTATGATTTTTGTAATCAGGGGGGATCAAATTAAGGTTAATTGTTTTAAAAAGGAATTTAGATGGGTTGTCTCCAGGAAGGACAACTAGGGGGCTGTGTGCTGAGGTGGGGGGGATTTTTGAATAGCGCACTTTTTGGTGCCTTTTAAATTTTGAAAAAATTTAACTTTTGACTATCCCTCCAAATAATCATATAAAATTAAACAGAAAAGGGGGAGGAATTTAGCTGAGGTCCTGGTAGGTTTGGATATATAGAGGTGCCTGTCACACCTGGTGCCTGGGGAGGGCTGCACCCCCCATGCTGGGTGGTCCTGGGAGGAATGATGCAGGGCAGCCGCCCAGGGTGGGGTGAGCATCGGGGCTGCTCGGCAGGCCAGGCGGGCCCACATCACAGTCCCCATGACGATCCTGGGTGGAGGGGCACTAGCCTTGGGCGTCAGATGCCGACCGGGGCCCAGCTGGTGTTCAGCCCATGCAGGAGACACTGCCAGCCTCAGGGGCTTACAGCAAAGAGGCCCACACTGGAGACAACAGCAAGAAACAAGAACCATGGCAAGAAAGGCAGTGGCCAATAATGAAGCCCTCATGGCCTGCAGAGTACGAGATCCTGCCCCAGGTGCTTCACAGTCATTATCTCAGTGGCTCCTGCCATCCCTGTGAAGCAGGTGAGAGGCAAAGTCCCTCTCTCAAGTAACACAGCTGCAGAGTGCCTCCAAGCTTCTGTTTTCTCTTCTGTGAGACAAATGCACTTGAAGCTGAGGTGTGGACACACCCAAGGGCTGAACCATATGGTCCTGAAGCATGTGGTAAACCATGAGTGATGGACCCACCTTAGGTCAGGTCTTTAAGACCAAACAAAAGTAGAAAATAGAGACCCTAAGTGAACCAAGTGACACCCCCTGCCCCATACACACCTCAGTTCACTCAGCCAAGGTCTAAAAGGGGCCTTTTCCAGAAGGGTATGGAACTTGCCCGCGGTCACACAGCACATTGGCACAGATCTGGGACTAGAATCCACATCCCCTCACCTCCACCTACGTGCAGGGGCACTCACTCCATGCCCTGGTGTTACAGCCACCTCCACCTCTGACTTCTCTCCTGTTCCAGCCAACAATAAGTACTTTTTAATTTTAATTTTTAAATTTTTTTTTACATCTTTATTGGAGTATAATTGCTTTACAATGGTGTGTTAGCTTCTGCTTTATAACAAAGTGAATCAGTTCCCATATCTCTTCCCTCTTGCATCTCCCTCCCTCCCACCCTCCCTATCCCACCCCTCCAGGCGGTCACGATCTCCCTGTGCTATGCGGCTGCTTCCCACTGGCTATCTGCCTTACGTTTGGTAGTGTATATATGTCCATGCCTCTCTCCCGCTTTGTCACAGCTTCCCCTTCCCCCTCCCCATATCCTCAAGTCCATTCTCTAGTAGGTCTGTGTCTTTATTCCTGGCTTACCCCTAGGTTCTTCATGACATTCTTTTTCTTAAATTCCATATATATGTGTTAGCATACGGTATTTGTCTTTCTCTTTCTGACTTACTTCACTCTGTAGGACAGACTCTAGGTCCATCCACCTCACTACAAATAGCTCAATTTTGTTTCTGTTTATGGCTGAGTAATATTCCATTGTATATATGTGCCACATCTTCTTTATCCATTCATCCGATGATGGACACTTAGGTTGTTTCCATCTCTGGGCTATTGTAAATAGAGTTGCAATGAACATTTTGGTACTTTTTGTTGGCATCCCTTGCCCAAAGTCCTCAGTGGCTCCCTACTGGAGGGGGAAGCAGGGAGCGTGAGGATCAGAACTGAATTCCTGGGCCTGACATTGACACTCACGGTCCAGCCCCATCGTTACCATTTCAGCCTTGTTCCCCCAGTGCTTCTACCCCAGCCAAGCCACAATCCTCTCCACTCCCACCTCACACTTCCATACCTTTGCCTGTGCTGCTGCTTCTCCCAGAATGCCTTCCCCCTGCCCCCATTCCACCTAGCCAAACCCACTGAGCTCGTCTTCCAGGAAGTCTCCCTGTCACCCCCATCCACGTGGCCTGTCCCGCCTCTGAGCTCTGGATCAGACTGTGCTGTCCCGTTCTGTTCTTTCATAGTAATCATCTTGTATTGTTCATCTGTCTTAGGCTACAAATTAGACCCTAAGTTCCTTGAGGGTACGGCCTAGTTATTAGATCTACAGTGGCTATTTTCAAAATGAAAACTGGAACCTGTGCTCTGACCAGGGTATGTTTCTGCTTTGTTATACATTTGTATGAACAATCTTCAAAGTCTAAACCATGGGTATCCAATATGGACCATATGCTTGGAAACTCTCTAACAGCACCCTTCACAGATCTGAGTAATCGGCCACTTTACCCCTTCCTGCTGAGCCCAGGGGTGGCTCAGAATCCTCTCACAGTAGTGTTGCAGGTAGCTAGTGCCACCTGGATTTGGCCTGTGAGATGAAACCTCTGTGCCATCTGGAATGGGCACTCCCTGAGGGCAGGGACTTGTCTGTGGGGTTCTTATCCATAGGGCCTAGCATCATGCCTGGCACATAGTAGGCTCTCAGTAAGTATCTATTGAGTGAATGAATGCCCCTCCTAGAAAAGTCAATCTCAGTTATAAATGTAATGGCTAACTCATTTAAAATATGGGCTGGGCTGGGGCATCAGATCTGTGTCCCAGATCTGTGACATTCATTGCACAAGTTACTAAACCTCTGTGAGCTTCAGTTTCCACATCTACAAATGAAGTGTTGGTACCTGCTTTACAGGCTTGTCCTGAGGATTAAATGAATCATGCTCAGTGCCTAGGACATGGCTGGCACTCAATAAATGTAAGTTTCCAACTTCCTCTTGGAATGAGTCCAGCTACAAGTTACAGAAACAAAAGTCATCGGTTCAAGTGAAAATGGGGGTGCTTTTTGGGGAAGAAGGGGGAATGGCTGCTGGGCAGAGAGAAGCACCAGCTGTGCACTTCTACCCTCTGCATGGAATCGGGATGGCATAGAAAACCCAGGTTACATCACCACAGCTGCATCAGTACCACTGAATGATAACAGGAAGTGCTCTGTCTGCATGCTGGGCACTCTGCTGGGCATGGGGTAGAACCCGGTCTCACATTGTTCCCAGCAGCCCCCAGATTCAGAGAGTGGAGCACCTTGCCCAAGGTCACACAGCCTGAGCGTGTGAACAGGCCTTGGCTGTGAACTGAATGGAGCCACTGGGCCTCCAGGAGCCTTTCCCATCCCCACGCAGCTGAGTCATGGATTTCCCAGGTGGTGGCCAAGGGCCCTGGTGAGTCAGAGGCCCGGTGGGGGGCTGACCCCCTCACACTTCACCCCACTTAGTCCTGCCCAGGACCCCAGCCCCTTGCTTGGAAGCACAGGCACCTGCCAGAGACCACAACCTATAATGCCCTTACAGTACCCCAAAGTGATATCCTAAAGGGGCCACGGCATATTGTATAGCTGTGGAATCCCAGCCTGCCTGGGCTTAAATCCCTACGCTTAGGCCACGTGACCTTGGGCAGGTCACTTTACCTCTCTGGGCCTCAGTTTCCTCACCTGTGAGATGGGGAGAATGATTTCACTTTGTATTTATTAGCACAGACAAAGTATTGCGGGGCTCATGGGAAGAGCCAGCTAAATTTGAACTATTATAATATGCACATTATTGGATTTTTGCATTATCCAAGTGAGAAAAATGTATCCACTACTGTTCTAAATGTGATCAAAGATCAAACAAACAGAAATTACTTGTATCCTTTCTGGAACGTAAATCCAGGTTGGATCCTCCCTGAGACAGTCACTGTAGAAGCTTCCAGCAAGAGGGAAGCTAAGGTCCTCAGAGGTCCCACTGCTGTGGGGGCCTAGCTATCTGCGCCTTCCCCTCCTCTGTTCTTGGACTTGGATCCTGTATTTCTCCAAGTGCACTGACCCCAGCCACCTGCAACAAAGACCTCTGGGCAGGGAACACTTGCTAAAAATACAGATCCCAGGGGCACAGCCAGGCTTGCTGCATCCGGCTCTGCATTTGACTTACCTTTCCAGGTGATTGAGATGTGAACTATAACGTGAGAACGGATGTCCTGCTCCTTCCTGACCCAGTTTCTTCTCAGATCCAATGCCTACAGTGAGCTAAGCATGAGGCAAGGGGCTTTCCATCCCTTACCTCCTTTAAACCCCTAAAACATACAAAAAATGACCATTGGGGAGTTGTGACAGATAAAGGAACTGAGGCTCAGAGAGGTATGCTGTGGGCCCATGATCACATGTGGTAAGCCGTGGAACTGGGATTTGAACCCAGAATCTGTCTTCTTTCCCCTTGCAAATGCTGCTCTCCCATAAATGTGGCTGTGCCTGAGTGCCCTCATTAGTCTGGGCCGGGGTCTAACTTTGTAATTTGCTGGTGAAAGCTGGTT